TGCAGCGTATTTAGCAAACCGTAGATGTCACTCACTTTATCGCCATGCGGAAACCCACGCTCCCTCCCAGGCTCTCTCAGCCCCGAGCTTCCCTGCCCTTGTGTGCACTCAACGTGTCCCTCTGTCCACAGGGGAACGTTCGAGAACCGCGTCCGAGTTGGGGGGGGGCGTGCGTTATCTGTGACGTCGTTCTCTGCCTTCTCACGTCAGCATCGTTACTGTGTTTAGATTTCTTCCCCACCAAACACTCTGCAAACACATCATCATCTTCCGGGATTTAGTGCCGTGAAGGCAAAGCCTGAGCCAGCTGACTTTCCTTTTTGTGCGAACCCGGATTTCTCTGCCTGGGCACTGCCTCCACTGTTTTCATTCCCTTTGGAGCGTTTTGTTTGTTTTGTTTTGTTTTCTTGTTTTATTTTGTGGAAGGAGCACTGCAGAAGTGACGACGCGCACAGGCTTCCTCTCCAGTAAGACCCGCGTGAGCAGCGGAAGGACCCAGCAAACACCAGAACCCCCACGACTCAGCCGTGCTCCACGATCCTGGGTGCCGCGGGGTCCAGTGTGACGGCCGCGGCTGTCCCGGCGGGCAGCACGTCCGAATTCGGGCACGTGGGTCCCGGAGGCGGGTGGGGCAGCGCATCTGGGGGGTGTCAGGGGGCTTAACTGAGACAAGACGGAAACGAAAGCTGGTCTGAGAAATAAAGTATCTCCAGGCGATGCCGTGGACCTCGTGGCGCTCAGAGGTCACACGCCGGCAATAATAATGCACGACCGCCTGGTTACGCGGCTCGCTCCGAAGCGCTCAGAGGCCGGGGTGCTGGGTTGCAGGTAGCAGGCCGGTGAGCGGACGGAGGCTCGGGTCCTCAGCAGGTGCGACGAGGACAAAGGGCCGAGGAAAGCGGGGTGTGCGGTGCCTGGTGGGTCCAGACTTCAGGGCAGAAGTGAGGACAGAAGCTGAGGGGGGAGGGGGCCCCGGAGGGTCGGACTCGGGACGAGGTTTGCAAGGAGGCTGAAGAGAATTTCATGTGAGAGGGAAAGTATTTCAGCCGACCGAGTCCTGTACACGAGTAAGTTGACTTTTATTAATTTCCAAATTTCCAGAGTGCCCTTAATTTCTGTCTCTGGTCCTCCAGCCCACCCTCCGGCTGATGTCCTGATCCTTTCAAGAAGACGCAGCCCCTCCTGGGAGTTCAGGTTGACTGAGCCAGAGCCCGGTTTACAGAGGGCGGCTCCCCTCCCTCTTTCTCTGTGGACCCCAGAGCCCTGGCGGGCTTTTCCGGCCACGGTGCATCATCCGTGGCCGGAGCAGGAGTTTGCTGCCCGTGCCCTGGATCAGGCTGGCCGGTGCCCGGTCAGGCGGACCTTCCCTCGGCCCGGCCAGCTGTGTGCACCTGTTTCAAAACCTCCCGCTTTCAGAGACGATGCCCGCCTTTCGGGGAGACTTTGTCTTGACTTCTCTGCTGCAAAGGCAGGAAAATTTTAAGACACCAAAGACAGAGTTTCCAGATGTTTCTCCTGCCCCTCAATGTCCCACTCAAGACCATGGCAAAGCCGCGTCCAGCGGTCACCTGCCCCGTCTTCAGCCTTCTGTGAGAGCTCGGATCGCTCCGTATCTAAGCAGTCCCGGACCCTGGCCTCTGAGTCTCCTGGACGGACGGACAGAAGCAGCTGGCCAGACCCACAGCCCAAATCCCAACTCCGGACGCTGGTGCCGCTGTGACTACTTCCCTCCAACACGGCTGTCCTGCGGCAGAAATGACGGGTCACTGCGGCACATCACACCCACTCTTCCGTCACCAGAGGCGGTTTTAAGGCTCGGGGACAAAACTGACTTTATTTTTGAGAAGTCACTCAAAGCGTGAAGGGCAGATTTATCTCTGTTATGAGGGGACATTTGGGGACGATGAGAGACCTTCTTAGGCAAGACTTCAAATACTCATCCCTTATTGCAGTGAGAAGGAGGACGGAGACCCTGGAGGCACGTTCGCCGTAGAATCTCAGTTCGCGTGTCCCACGTCCCTTCCCTGGGGACAAAGTAAATGCGTTCAACAGACTTAAGGCATCTTCTAAAGCAGGTGTGCGCTGGGGGGGTCACAGGTGCTCCCATGAGCACTGCTGGGACATGGGTCCACACGGGACCCTGTGACCGAGGGCCCCTCAAGGGGACACCACAGCCCTTTCGAGGGAGCCCCCACCCCAGCCACGGACTCCAAGGCAGAAAACTCCCGTGATCCTCCCGCTAGCCCCCGGTCCCCCACTCAGGGCCCTGGGAGCCTCTGGCTGGGTTTCCGTGTCTTCAAGGTCACGCAGAATACGTGTGCGGGCGCTGGGCCCTCCGTTCGCGGTCTAGGCACGTGGCACTCCTGTCTTAATGCCCCTCGTCATGTGGGACTCCCCTGAACTGTTTTCAATTCCAGAAGTAATGGGAGAAGGGGTCAAGCAGATGCCTTCCTGATGACCCATGGACTTGGAGGGAAATTCTCTGTGAGCCCCACCCTTCCTTAGGGACCTCCTGGAAGGTGGAGTGCTGGCCCGGGCCCTCCCTTTGACCATGGGAAGACCCCCCACCCCAAGTCAGTTTCTGTGTCATGTGATGGGGGTGCACGGCTAGGCGCCCTCATTTGCGTGAATCATGTGACCCTGTGCCCTTTGGAGCTACAGTTGTGGGGGAGGGGGCGTCGGTGCACGAAGGGTGACCCTCAGGCTGTCTCCCCACCCCCCGCCCCAGCGCGTCCCCAGCCCAAGGACCTCAGTGGACGTCGGAAGGCACGGGAGATAAAGGCTGTCCCCTCGGTTCATGTGGGGACGAACAGAGGCCTAACGCACCCTCCGTGTCCCCCAGGGGGTCAGGATGCGGCCTGATGCTCCTGATCCCCGCTCCCCCTTAGCGGTTCCTCCTGGGGATGGGCCGACCCACGCATCCCAGTTTGCACAAAACTGTCCCCTCTCTGCCAAGTTCCGTGTCCCCGCAGCTCCCCGATCCCCAGTCCCTCCGCGGGGCCAGCGCTCGCTGAGTAAACTGCGCCGATCTTCGTTTAGGCCCCAGGCCGTCCTCCGGAGCCAGAGCATTTGCCCCCACGGTAAATGCTCCCCAACGACCCAAACACCTCCGGCGCAGCCTTCACATGGGGGAGGGGCAGCGAGGGGCTGGGGGGGCGGGTGGCAGACGCACCGGCTGCCGGTCACCTTGCGAGGACCGCACGCAGGCATCCGAGAGGCGGGCAGAGTCCGGGGCGCTGCGGGGCGGCGGGCGGCCCGAAGGTGAAAGCCGCCGGAGTGGAGTTGAGCCAGGAGGACGGCCAGCACCGAGACCAGGAGGGTCTTCTCCCACGGAGCCCTGGTGGGACAGCAGCCGTTTGGAAAGGGACTCATTTGCTCATCAGGTGAGCCCGTCTGTTGTCCCGAGAATCGGTCTAGTCGAGGAGAAACCCGTGGTTCGAACAAATGAGTGTGTAGGCAGCTCCTGAAAGACACAGCGAAGGCATTTTAACTTTCTCTTCTTGGGTAGACTTTTCTTCTGAAATCCCACGGTCGTGCCAACGTTACTGGTTTCTGAGGGAGCCGCACCATCTGCACCAGGCCAGGGGCTCCCCTGTTTATAGGTGAATCTTGGTCATGAGATGCCACCAACAGCTCAGCGGGGACGCGGAGACCTCACGGAACTGGGGTCCCTCGTCCGTGCAGGGGTGGGGATGGCCATTGCGCAGCGGGAGCGAGGAGCGAAACAGAGGGGACGGGCCTGGGAGTCACCGCTCCCGTGGCCTGGGGGGAGCCATCTGGTCAGACGTCTGCTGGCGGTCCCTCTCCTTGGTCGCTCCGCCCGGGACCCCCGAGTGTTAGCACGGCCTGGCCTCCCTTCCTGCCTGTGGACGCGGGCAGGGGGGAGGGGATGGGAAGAGAGCTGAGCGGCTCCCCGGGGAGTCGGGCTTCTTAGACAGGAGCACACTCACCCCGACGGGTTACGAGGCACAGAGTCCCAAGGGGCACAAGGAGAGCAACGGACACAGGATCGGGGAGAGGCAGCCCGGCAGGGGCGGGTAGGGCTGGGGAGGGCGAGGCTGGGGGCGGGCAGGAGAGCGGGCAAGGACTTCCCGGGTGACCAAGGAGTACAGGACGCACGGGAGGCTGAGGGTTAGCCAGGCTTCCCGGTTTCCCCAGGGCTGGCGCGAGAGGCAGGGGCCGGGCAGCGGGTGACCCCCAGGAGCCTGTCTCCGAGGGGCCCGCAGCCTGAGATGCGGCCACCCCGGCTGGACGCAGGGCCGCGGGCCTCGTTCGGGCGTCAGCTGTGGTCGCGGCTGCTTTTCTAACCACAAGCCTGCGGCCGCCGGGACGTGATCGCACCCGGGGCTCTGGCATATGGCTGCTTATTACCCATAATGTCCCCGCTGCTGTGAGTTTTCCCCTTTTCATCTTTTTTTATGAGTATTTTAATGGGAAGGTAGGGGGAGGGCGCGTCGGGCTGAATCTGCAGATGGTAATTTGAAGGCGCATTCCCCCGGCGGTGGCGAGTTCTGGAAGGAGCACAGCCCACGGGGACCAGAGGAGCTGCCCCCGGCTTGCAGAGCTGGACCCAGAGTCGGGGGGAGGGGCCGGGGCTGGCAGGGAGGCCAGACTGCGACCAGACGGGGCACAGAGAGAAGGTGTCCCTGTTCCGGCGGCAGGCCAGCGGGAGGGGGCTGGACGCTAGGACCCAGGAGCACGGAACCACTCCCAGCCCGTGTGCAGCACCAGGGTGGCCCCGGGGAGCTGACCTGCACAGCGGCAAAGTCACCCTCAGAAGGTCAAAAGGACCCCACATAACGCTCTGCTACTGCCGTCTTGAAATTCATGGTAGTTAAAACAAATTTTTTTTAATGTTTGTTTATTTTTCGAGAGAGAGAGACAGCGCGCGAGCAGGGGAGGGTCAGAGAGAGGGAGACGCAGAATCTGAAACAGGCTCCGGGCTCCGAGCTGTCAGCACAGAGCCCGACGCGGGGCTCGAACCCACGACCCGTGATATTATGACTCGAGCCAAAGTCGGACGCTGAACCGACTGAGCCCCCAGGTGCCCCAGGTAATTTTTTTTACACAGGGTCCCCACGTTCTCCTTTTCTACCGGGCCTTCCCAATCATGCAGCCATTCTTGTACAGACGCCTCGTGGGTGAGTGTGCCGATCACACCCACGTTCCTCCTACACGACTCGGAGCACAGTGCTGCGCACATGCTGCGCCCCAGGGGGGTAGGGTTTTCCCCACACCAAGAAATTCTGCGGCACCAGCCAGGTGTCCTGCAGTGTAAGTCACTTGTGACGCCATCCACCCGGAGACTGTCCCCACCTCAGACACCAGTCACAAGGCCAGGCTGTCTCTTGCGCTTCTGACCTACCTGCTCCGGATGGGAGGCTCCCACGCCCCCCTCTCGAGTTCCATAATTTGCTGGAGGGGCCCACGGAGCTCAGAGCGTCGCTGCTCACCCGTTTGTCATACGAGGACAGGATGAAGGAGGCCGTGAACTCAGATGGGAGGGGCGTAGGGCGAGGTACGGGGAGGGGTGCCGAGCTCCCGCCCCTCCCCAGGGGCACCCCTCTGCCAGCGCCCCCCACGCGCCCGTGTTCACCGGCCTCTGCTTTTGGGACTTTTACGGAGGCTTCACCATGTGGACGTGATCATCATTTGAGGGACCCTTTTCCAGCCCCTCACTCTGGAGAACGGGCTGGGCGAACTGAATGTTCCGGGCTTCTGACGGCAGCTGGGTCTTTCCCGCGTCCAGCCCCCGCCCGGGAGCCACCTAGCATCGCCTCGTTAGAACAAAGGATCTAGGAGCGCGTGTCGGGAACCAGGGTCAAGACCAGGTATCAGAACAGCGGTTCCTGGTGCTCTGATCAGTTGGGAGGTGACGCGGGTTTAAGAGCTGTGTGCCAGGAACAGGGACGAGGACCAAATACAGCTTTCTCATTATGAATCACAATATCGTAACCAGAAAACGTCTTTCTTGGCTCGTATTGTGTCGAAGCCTCCCACGTGCCTGTCGGCCACGCGTCACCCGTCACATGTTTGGTGCCGTTGGCCGTTCTGCCACGAGAGCGCGTTTCGCAAACACATCGATTGTTTTAAAACATGTTAGTGCGCACATATTAAGGGACTGTATGGTAGGGAATTCAGTGTCTAGAAAGCGACAAATAATTGCTTGTCTTCTTGTTGCCGTCTCCCACTCTGTAGTAGCGTTTTCATAGTTCTTATTCAGAGGACAACGTCCTCTCACACTGAAACGATCCTACGTGATTAGTGTAGAAATGACCCTCTTGCGGGCGTGCGTTTTCACTTACTGTTTTAACAGATTGCGGAGCGCCAGCTCTGTGTCAGGCCCGATAGAGACTGCACCGGGGACACGGTAATAAATAAAACACAACCCTGGCCCTTGGAATTCTCTGGTAGGAGTTAGAGCTTGGTGAGCATCTTCATTTTGCCTTATTTTCGTTTGGGTTCCTAAGGAGAAATTCCACGAACAGAGATCGCAGGGTCGGAAAAGCCAAGTGCTTTAGTGGCTGCAAGTGCATATTATCAAGTCGCTTTCTGACCCACCGTCCCCTGGGCCCCCTGCTCGTGTACCTGCTTCCCTGGAACCCCACCGAGGTTGGGTATTATCATAAAAAAGCATCCCCCAACTTAAAGGGTGTGAAATGGAAGAGAACTGCTTCAGCTCGTGGATGGTTCTTCTAAAGCCCACCCCTCCCCAGTCCCAGGAACCGCGTATTTATTTCAGCCTGACTCCACTCCGTCTACAAGGCACAGCCCCTCTTTCCCTCCACTATGGAGCCGAAGGATGTAATTCTCATTGTGCCTTTCTTAGAATATATTGTGTGACCTTGTGAAATTTTTACAGCCTGCAAAACCATTTCCCTAGAGAGGAACCTTTGCTTCCCTAAAAAGTGCATCTCCCTAGAGCACTAGCTCCTTCTTCTCCCTGCCAGGAAGTGGGTGGGGCCGTTCCAAACTGAAGCCGATTTTATACACCCTCAAGCTCCCGGGGGGCCTCAACCCGGAGACCCACCTTTGAGTAGCCTCTCGGGCACACCTAAATGGAGGCCACGTGGGACCAACCTGGGCTGCAGGCGCTGTTGACTCTCAAGCCCCCCAGCGGTCATGTGGGGTATTGCACCTCCTGCAGCCGCAGAGCCCCACCCACCGCTGCCAAGCTGAGCCAATGGCATCCCCCGCTCCTTGAACAGTTGGTCCAATGGGTGGGCAAGCGGTTCAAGGCAGGCCAATCACAGTCCTGCCCTGAGATTTTGTCCCAATCTGAGCTGGAGAAGAGCAGCCCCTTTTTCCCTTAGTCCTCCATCTATGCACAGAGGTGTGAATGTGGACTTCCAGCTGCTAGCTTCCCCCTTTCCCACCCCGTCCCACCAGCCAGCAGGAGAGACAGCCCCGCGGGTGGGTGGAGAGGCTGAGGAGGCTCCATGCGCGACGGCATTGGTCATCAATTCCGGTCTTCCCCACGGGCAGCTCCCAGCCACCTTTTTCCACACCCTTCCTACACTTTCACCATATGATTTAAAAAAACAACTCATGTTTTGTCTTCTTTGCTCATTGATGCCAGTTAGTGTATTTCACGTGCGGTAAGAATTGATATTTATTTAAAGTCATGTGGAGTTTCCCCCTCATCTTGTGGGGTTGGTTGATCTCAGACCATAATCATAAAAATTCAGGTCGAATGGTTTGGCGCAGAAAGTCAGTCATTCCGCATGCACGACGTCCCTCGCCACGAGCGAGACACATTCCAAACACATCTCCTAGACATGGAAACTCGACATTCCCATCCGAGCCGTCAACCGCCCAAGTGGTTTCTTGGGTTCAGAAAGGGTGGGACTGGCAGTGAGCATTAAACTCCGTTTTGCTCCCTTGCCCTCAGATGCCAGAGCTAAGGTGAACAGCAGCAGCAGTAGTGGGGAGGCGGGACTAGAGCAGCATGCAGCTTCTGGAATATTTTGTCGAAAGCAGCCGCTGGGAAATTGAGATGCTCACCGAGGTGGCAGACAGGTGGGCCGGCAGCCCGGGCGAAAGACAGACGTGAAATAACTTCATTATCTGTGTCGTCCTCCCATCAGGAACCAGCACTGGGTGCTGGGGTCTATTTTTAGCAGAGGCATCGGGTTTTACAAAGATAGTACCCAGCTTTGTCGAAGGCCTCATTTCTTTCCTCTCCTGAGTCATCTGGACTGTTGCGACACTCCCGCCCTCGCACGGGACTCAGACGTGTAAATAACAGCTGCCGGCTTGGACCGGCTTCTTTCTGTACCCCCCCCCCCCGCAGTGGGAGGAGGGAACTCTGTCACCCGCCGGGGCCCCTCCACAGTTACTGACCGAAGCACCTGCCTGCCATCACCCGGCTCCTCGCCTCCTGATGGCCAGGCCGTGGCGGAGAGTCAGAGCCCGGGGCTGAGGCCTCCAGGAAGGACGAGGGAGCAAGGAGACCAAAGTACTCACCACGGCAGTAGCCTTGTGCCCAGCGGCTGCTCCCTTCTCTGCGGCTGGGCCTTCTCATGCTGCGACAGGTCAGGCTCCACCACGGGGCCCTGGGGCCTACGGCGACGAGGCTGGGGGCCGACCTGGAGGCCCTCGGACAGCAGGCCGTTTGGGTCTCTTGTCGCGTTGGCTTTACGAACATCCGGGCCGACTGGCTAGAGGAAGGGGTTGGCGTGAGAACACGAGAGGGCCCCCACCTGGGACCCAGAGAGCCCGGGGGGCAAAGACCCTGAGGACTTTGTGCAAAGCCAAGCACTTCGTCTTCCTCGCAAGCCACTCTTTGGCCACTGCCTCGTAGCCCCTCAATGAGATGTATGAAGGGAGGGGGTCCGGGTGCTGTTGTGGAGGGGGGCAGGCAGGGAGGGTCGTGGGGAGAGTCCCTGCCATCCTCCCCGGAGGGTCCCATGATGAGGATGATTGAGTGACAGGTGGCATCTAGCTGGGTCCACCTGGGCCGTGCTGGCCAGTGCTGAGAAGAGTCAAGCCATAAAGTGATTGGAACCGTATGGAAAGGAAGGGTCGTGAATGGTGTATTTGAGGAACAACGTAAGTGTCTATTCATTTCTGTTTGTTTTAGTCTGTTTCCCATATGGCCCCCTTCCTGTTTGCCAGCCCCGAGGACGCGTTCCTCTCACTTCCCACAATGCCCTTCCCCGAGGGCTGTGTGGCTGGCTCCTCCCACGTCACCTCACATGGCCCTCCAGGACCCCTAGCTGATACCTGTTCCCACACCCCCTCCACAGAGGCACCTTCAGCTAAAACACACACACACACACACACACACACACACACACACACACCACCCCAGAAATTCTGATTCAAATTCATTGTAAAATAGGAGTTTGGGAGACGAAACGTTCACTTCCGGATGGTTTTTCTCCTTTGGGGTGATTGAAATCAAGTTTTGCAATTCTAGAACTTCATGTGATTATTTCCCAGACGATTTATTAATTCTCATAATTTCACAATCTGCCATTGTCTGGGCTACCTTACTGACTTGTGTCGTCATGGGAAACAGGAAGCGGGCCCGGCTTTCCAGATGGCCAAAGCCCCGGTGGGGACGAAGGATGAACCCACAACGGACAGAGCTCCATTCGTTCTGTAATTGAGTGTTCATTCTCGAGGAGGTTGTTGATCGGGACAATCTGTCGTACTGAAATTAACTAAGGCCCCAGCATCGCCAGATAAGGCAAGAAGATTGATGGGGCCCCGAGGAGACCAGCAGCAAAACTGTTCTCTGGGCCCCAAGAGGAAGGACATGATGATGTTTGGCCCAGTAGAGGGAAGATTCTGGTAAAGGTTGACATGGGCTCGTAGGAGTCCCGGTCGCCCTGGAAAAGGAGGAAATCCTTTCCATGCTGATGAGAAAGGCACATGCGAGGTGAGGACAGAGTGATGAATGGGGGTGACAGGTGACCTGTCCAGCTCCGTCGGGGGGTGACCCTGGGGGCGCCCCCGCGAGTCAAGTGCTTCGCCTCCGTGTTGCCTCCTGTCCTGGTTTCTGCTGTCACCGCCGGAAAGAGAGGCGAACGGAGGATCCGCGAGCTCCTGCTGGCGGGTAGACGGTGGCTGTTGGGATCGGGTCCTCCCTCGCTTGCTGTTGTCCCAAAGGCTTCCTTCTTCGCAGGGAAGGAGGACGGGAATCCAGCGGGAAGTCGGCATCGACCGTGTGCCGGGACCGTGATGGGGACCGGTCTTCCCAGGTGACCGCAGCCCCTGCCTCCTGGCAGCTCCCAGGCCGGTGGGGGACAGTGCCCCGGCAAGTGCCCTGGGGCGACTTGGGGCAGCAGATGGGGTGATGGAGGGCCTTGCGGGGGCACCCACCAAACTTCAGGGGTAGGGCATCTGAGCCAGGTTCTGAAGGTCAGGCGTGGTTCCGGGGGCTGGAGGAGCCTGCGGCAATGCGGGGAAAGGGGTCAGGTTTGCAGGGCCCAAGACGAAGGAAGATGCATGTGCGTGGGGCCTGGATGTGGCTCCGGAGTGGCCAGAGCAGGATGGACAAGGAGAGAAGGCTGAGAGGAGCCGGGAGACGCTGGCGAGAGCCAGCCGGGGAGGGGACCCACGTCTGCTTCACGATGGGGAGGGGCAGGGGGGAGAGGCTGGGTGACAAAACGCGGGAGCTGTGGTCCAAGGTGGTGGCCACGTGTGCTGAGCCCGTGGGGCTGTAAAAATAAATACATAAATCAAAATAAAAAGATCCGGGTCCAGAGCAGGGGTGCAGGGGTGAGCCTTACACGGGGGGGGGGGGGGGAGAGAAGGTTCTTCATTGTAAGGAGACAGGAAGAGGCTGCGGTTAACCGCGGAAGGGAGGGGGAGTCCGCGAAGCTAACGGCTTCGGCTGCCAGCTCCTTTCTCTGTGAGGCAGGTTATAAGTCACCTATTATGTATCAGGCACTCTCAAAATTTTTGTAATTAGTGTGGAGCACTGATTTCAAGGTTGACAAGGAGCACTGATTCCGCAAGAGCGGCCACGGTATTTCTGACAAAGATCAAAGGGAGAAGAGTGAGCTTTCCAGCTTCCCAAACATCTAAGAGTACAGTAAATAAAAAGCGTGGTCCTGTGCTCCACGTGGACTGACGGAACAGAAGTGGACTCGTGCAGAAACGGGGATTTGAGGACAAAAAAGCAGCTCCTGACTCGTGCTGTCGGCATTTCCAAGAAAGAGAGAACGCCACGAACATCAGGTCTCCCGTAAGGACAGCGACAAATATGGAGTCGCCGGAGTCCCCACGGCCACCGCGGATCTGAGAGCGTGGACAGCGGGGGCGGGAGGGCCGGGGAGACTGGGATGGGAAGTGAGCAGAGGATGTCACCTCCGGAAGGGAAAGGCTGGCCCTAACACGAAGCACGGAACGCGGTTCTGGGTTCGTGTTCACGGCTCCGGCCGCAGGACCGACGCGGGCAGCCCGAGGAAGGCAGCAGCCTCTGGACGAGGTAAACTCCACCGAGAAGGAGCGATGTCCCCGGGGGTCTGGCATCAAAGGGAGGGAGGAAGTCAGAGGCAGAATTCAGAGACCCCTTAGGAGGGAAAGAACAACCCACCTCAACCCCACCAACCTCCCCCGTCAGCATCAGGGGCTACCGTGCATTTGCCTGGGAATCCGACCCATAGAACTCTTGTATAGAATTTCTCCTATAGAAGAAAGGCAGCCAACTCTATCCCAAACTGCCTTGAAAAGAAAATTTAAAATGTGAATCATAACATTTTAGCCTGGGAGCATTCTTTTCGCACAAGACCGCGAGGCCAAGTACGACTGTAAGGTGATGCACTTTAGACCAAATCAGATATCCTCGAACTAGCATTTGGAGTCACTGAACAACACATAGAAATAGAAGTTTAGGGGCACCTGGGTCGCTCGGTCATTTAAGCGTCTGACTCCTGATTTCGGCTCAGGTTGTGATCTCAGGGTCTTGGGTTCAAGCCCTGAGTCAGACTCTGTGCTGGGTGTGGAGCCTGCTTAGGATTCTCTCTCTGCCCCTCTCCCACTCATGCTCTGTCTCTTCTCTTTCTCTGACTCAAAAAAAAAAAAAAAAGAAAAAGAAAGAAACTCGAAGATTAAGAACAGAAATGTAAGGGAGAGGAAGACACAGAAGCAATGCGAATGCAGGAAAGAAATGGCATAAAAAGGCAAAACCACCTCAAAATAAAAGATAAATAAATCATAACATGCCCAAGGGAAAAAGAGCCAAATTAAATTTTAATAAGGGGCCTTGAAGACAAGGCACAAAAGTAGCCAAGAGAATGAAATTGAGTTAAAGAAGGAAGTAAAAACGGAGCAGAGAGCGAGTTATTGAAATGGAAGTCAGTACGAGTCCCAGAAGAAGAAACACAGCGGGACAGCATTAATATTCAAGACCTTAATCCAAGAAAACTTTGCGGATGTGAGAGAAAACGCACACCCGCGCATTGAAAGGCACTACTGCGTGCTCTGGAAATTTTACCCGGAGTGGTCAAGTCCAAGATCACTATTAAATAATAGGATCAAATTAGTATTTAATTAGTATTAAGTTTAGCATTTAATTGGTATTAATATTAAAAAATAGTATTAAATTAAAATAATTTAATTATTATTAAATAAAGAATAATAATATTAACAAAGGTCCAAGACCACGATTAAAACCATTAGGACTTAAAGACGAAGAAAAATAATCCTCGGGGTCTCCAATCAGCAAGATCGGACTATTCACAGGGTAACAAACCAGGCAGGCAAGACACTTCTCGAGGGGAAATGTACAAGAGAGGTAAGCGTGGGGCCATATTTTCAGGAAACTCAAGGAAAAGTAGAAGGAGGCGCAAGTTTTAGACCCGGTCCCGCTGTCAAGGTGTGTAAGAGGACAGATTTGCATATTCAGGAGCTCGGGGGACACTGTGCACCCACATCCTTCCCAGGGAAGCAGCAACTGATGGAAAGATAACCCGGCAAATTTCATCTGAAGGATCAATGAGCCGGGAAGAAAAGGCAACCTAAAACCAAATGGGAAAATTAAAACAATGAGTCTATTTCAAACGAATAAACACACGGAGGCAGGGGAGACCGAACCAACGCAGGTCAACGTTGAAGTCCATGCCGTGGCTGTGGCTGTGGACCCTCGGCCCAGACAAGCAAAGGGACAGTAAGCCTGGACTCCACCAGGATCGTCTCAGAACGCTGGCTGTGGGGGGTCTGAAACCACAGGTCTGTTGCAGCACAGAGCGAGTGAACGCCGTGGGGACTTTGCGGGGACCCAGTTCTCGCCGTGGAAGTAGGGAGATGCAGAACGGGGAAAGAAAGAGATTAATACCCCGTGTAAATAGGTACATATTTCCAAGGTCTGTCCGCGGACAGGACCGGGGAGTATGGTCCCCAGATGTCATTCCCACTAGATGGAAGTAGGTCTCTTGGACGGTGCCTGGCTCTAGGGCAGGAAGAGAATGGGCAACATGGTTCTGAGATACCTTGTGCCGGAAAGTTCCAATGAATAAATGAGTGATATGATGGTGGCCGGTCACTAGGAGGAAGGAACAGGCTTGCAGGGGACCCCACTGGCCAAAGCTGGGATAAGGTGAGCACCAAACTTTGAGCACAAGAGAAGTGGGACCGCTAAATGATGGCCTCCACAGACACGGGGGTCCTAAACCCTACTGCCTATGAACGTCACTTTATATGGTGGAAGGGATTGGCAGATGTGATTAAAGGGCAGAGAGAGATCTGAACACGGAGAAGAAGTAGACCATCTATGGACCGGAGCCGGGTGCCGCCCTGCTGGCTCTGAAGGTCGAGGACGGGGACAGGAGTGGGCGAATGCGAGGAACGGGGCTCTGGAAGCAGGAAAGGGTAAGGAAGGGCCCTCCCCCGGGGGCCTCCAGGTGGCGTGTGGCCCCACCAGCACCTTCATGGGGCTTGGAGAACCGACTGTGGACTTCCGACCTGCGTGAGAGAACAGATGTGGTAGTCGGTTACAGCAGCCACGGGAGACCGATACGGTCAGCGGTGGATTATGAGTCAGCAATGCCACGGGAATCCCTGAATCCATTCGGTAGGTGGATGGGGGAAGAGAGAGGGCGGGGATAGGCAACAAGTGAGCGGAGAAATGGACGCGGGAAGGGAGGAGAGGGCTCTCCGTTCGGGTGGAGAGCTATCTGGCGAGTGTACAAGACGTGTGAGCGTCAGAGTGAAGACAGGTCCGGGCAAGAACCACTAATGAACTAGGGGCTCGTTCTGATGAGGGTCAAGGGAAACGGTGACCATGTTGATCACCCCCTGGTCCAGGGTCAGAATCGCTGTCACCAGAGCATCAGAAGGACATCTTGGGCCTCCAGGCGTGAGGCCCCGGGAAAAACAGAGGGTCACGCAAAACTTGAATCCAGGCGTGAGCAAGCCCCAGACCGAACCCACCAGAGGAACGCGCTATGGAATATCGGGCCCCACGTCTCAGGATTGTCAGTGGACGAAGGAAGGCTGTGGAAGGAACGGGTCCGGGGTGACGGACGCTGGGAACCAGGGCTGTGCTGAAAGTGGGCATCGGCGGCCCCACCCTGACCTCACACGGTCCGGCGCTCCAGCGGGTCTCTGGGCTCAGGTGGGAGACCCCGAGGGCAAGGCACCCCGTGACGGGGACAGAAATGACCCCTCGAGCAATGAGGGCCTCCCCGAGATGGACCCCAGGACAGGGACCCGCCTGACCTTCCCCGCCCACCTGCACGGGCCCCCCACCTTTGCCCACGTCTCCTCCGATAAACCTAGAGGTGGTTCTGCGCTTTGGACACAGTCTTTGAGACGCTGGTCTGCCATCTTCCCGGTGCCGGCCTCCGGAAATAAACCTCTTCCCTGTCTCACCCCCACTCGTCTCTCCGCCTTCGGATTTTGTTGACGGTGAGAGGACGAGCCTGGTGTGTTTGGGGCCCGCGGAGCCCGGTGTTTGTGAAGCCTTGACCCCACGCACTGGAGGGAAACAATACTGGGTGGCTGAGTCGGTTGAGCGTCTGACACTTGATTTCAGCTCAGGTCATGATGTCACTTGGGACCTCACCTGGGGTCAAGCCCTGCATCAGGCTCGACTCTGAGCCCGGAGCCTGCTTGAGATAAGAGACTCTTAAAAACAGAACAAACTGAGGGTTGATGGGGGTGGGAGGGAAGGGAGGGTGGGGGATGGGCATTGAGGAAGGCACCTGTTGGGATGAGCCCTGGGTGTTGTATGGAAACCAATTTGAAAATGAATTTCATATTTAAAAAAAAAAAAAGATTCTCTCTCTCTGCCCCTCCCCTGCTCATTCTCTCTCTCTCTCAAAATTAATTAATTCTTTTTTTTTTTTTTAAAGAACAGTATTGGGACAAGAAAATAATTGGAACGTGGGTGGTAGATTAGGTGAAATTACAGCCTCAGTGTAAAATGTTTTGAATTTAATATCAATATTTTGGTTACATAAAGGGATATCCTTATTCTTTTTTTTTTTTTTAATTTTTTTTTTTCAACGTTTATTTATTTTTGGGACAGAGAGAGACAGAGCACGAACGGGGGAGGGGCAGAGAGAGAGGGAGACACAGAATCGGAAACAGGCTGCAGGCTCTGAGCCATCAGCCCAGAGCCTGACGCGGGGCTCGAACTCACGGACCGCGAGATCGTGACCTGGCTGAAGTCGGACGCTTAACCGACTGCGCCACCCAGGCGCCCCAGGGATATCCTTATTCTTAGGAAAAACACACTAAAATATTAAGGGGTAAAATAAAAAAATACAATATTAAGGGGAAAATGGGATTAATGTCTGCAACCTGGGAGAATACATCTGCAGCAGATATTACGAAACAAAAATGAGTATTCCTAAAAATAATTGAGGAAGAAACCCCACAAATAACCCAATGTAAGAATGATCATGTAATACGCACAGGAGATAAGAGAAAACACGCGTGAAGAGATGCCCGGGTCTCTCCTAACCAAAGAGATACAACTTCAAACAAGGAGATACCGGAAGGGCTGGGAAACACAGAGTGTTGGTACTAAACCCGGAAATCGCGGGACTGTGACATAGTACAGCCGCTTCCGAAGGGCCGTGCGCCCTCGTGGGCACAGACGTTCCCGGGGTCCTGCTCAGAACAGAAAGCTCGGAAGGGATGGGATGGAGGCGGGTCGTTTCACCGAGCGACGCCGAGCTGTAGAAGGAAGCGTCCGTGCAGACGCCAGTGACCGATACAAGGTACCATTTGTGCGTCTGTCGATTCTGCCTGTAGTTACGTGAAAGCAAGAGAAACGGTCCTGGGGGATGTGCAGCCGCGGACCCACGGTGGGGCGAGTCCGCGGGTGCCCTGAGCGGGTCCCGCTCACCTCCCAGAAGGGGAGGGTATCGCGGTATTGCTTGCGTGATGAAGAGGTCCGTGTACAATTGGACATTCGTTCACAAACGCGGGCAGCAGGCTTTACCCTCGCGGGTTACAAATCGGTTTTCTGTGTGTTAGTACGTCAGCTACCACCCCCTGGACGGCGGTCCCCCGCTGGCGCTCTGGCTTCTGCCTTTACTCCTCCTGGCACCTGGGGACCGGCTCTGTACGTCTGCCCTGTGGGGACTTGGAGACCAGACCCCGTGAGCACAAAGAGGTCGCGCGGACGTTCACCTACGCCCTGCCTGGGTGCGCGCACGAGACCCCTCAGTCCGGGGACAGACCTGAGGGCATCGTTGGGTGAGGTCTGCAGAAGTACACATTTTGGGAGCTCTGTTCTTTGGGGACGCTGTAAAATAATGGTGTTTCCCTCCCCGAGCCTGATGACCAGAGCGTAGGAGGCTCACGGGGGACCTCCGAGTCTCCTTAGAGATGTGTGTGATGTCACGTAGAATTCCCGGCCGCCTTAAAATATCTGCAGGAACCCTGTGAAGGCAGTGTGGGACCGAGGGTCAGAGGGGGCTCCCTGATTCTCACGGCAACTCGTCTCGGGCGGGTTATGGTTGCCCTTGTCTGTTTTTTAGTGGAGAAACCGAGGTCCAGCGGAGGAGACTGGTTTTGCAAGGTCACGGCTGAGGGCAGACCCCAGCCCCGAGCATCTCTACAGGATCACCTCTAGATCTGGGGCATGTCCTCTGTTCTTTCCTTGCGTAAAAACAGAGTGACGGGATGGGAGCGGAGGACAGTCCCGTCTTGTTAGTTCATCTGCCTGCACGGGCTCTGACACCGGCCTGAGCCCCGCACGGCGTTCTCCCCGCGAGCGCTGCGCGCTTGGGAGACGGGGGCCGGGGGAGGGTCCGCACCGCCAGTCCCCGTGGTCTGCGTCGGGATGAGCCGATGGCAGGAGGGCCTAGAGAAAACTGCCAAGATGGAGCACCGTTTCCATTGTCAAGGAGAGAACAGAAGTTGAGATTTTCCGGTCA